CAAACCAGAATTATCCACCGTCATGGTTCCCGGCAAATTGTGCAGAACATAGTCGGGAAACGGAAACCGCGACCCGGCTGGAGAGCGCTGCACTTGAGGCGACGCAAAATCCTCCGTCAGCGCGCGCAAATCGTATTCCGGACCCGAGGTCGCACCTTGACTATTTAGGCGCGCGCGGACCCCGGCCAGGTCTTGTTGCATCTGGAGTAACATTGCAGCGATGTCCGGCCCAGCAACCGCCGCACCAGACATAGTTGCCGCTCTCGGTACCGCGCTGGGCGCCATTCCGCCTCCTAGCGGCGTAGCGCCGCCACCCAGCAGACCTTGCATATATGGGGAAGGGGGCTGGGAACCATATTGGCCCGGCATCATGGCGCCAGCAACGCCGCAGAAAACGACAAAAACCGCTAAAACGGCTTGGACGGATACTGCTACGGTTGCCATGATCTTCAAGACGATGACGACGGAGCGATAATGGTGCTCCTTCAATCAGGGCACTCTACCCGATGGGTCTTGCTGAAGAGCTGAAAGCACAGCGGAAAAAACAGAAAGCGCGCCGAAGGCGCGGGACCTGCCTCGTTGTTCAGCGCGTGCTGAACAACAAAAACAAGATACAGAAAACCTGCAACACGCGCTATTTATGCAAAAGACGATCCTGAGGACACGGATCGCCGGCCTCAAGTCGTACCACTTAAAACGGCCGTAAGGCCCTACGCCTTAGCTAACCCGGCTCAAGCTTCGCATAGCCCGCAATACAGGTACCTTCCGCATTCCACAGTTGCGCAACTCAACTTGCAGTTTTCATGAAATGTATTATGCAAATAGATGTGTTCAATGATGTGCCATAAGCCATAACAGGTCATATACCTCTATATACTTCATATACCTCTGTGTGTCTCGGTCTGTGACCCAAGCGAGGGCAAAACATGAACACCTAAAGCCACAAACAAAAGTACCGCACTAGCAGGAGAACAGAATGTACATATATAGCTGTTACAGCATTTGTCATACATACATACATACCTCCGTTCAGTGGACCACATGTACAAAATTGAGGTGCAAACGAATAACGGTGAAGGTGGCGAGTACAGACTCTTTTTTCCGAAACATGTCTGTAACGCGGTCGACTCGTGCGGTAGTGATACAAGCGTCCTTGACCAACTAATACATACAGAGCTGCTACCAAGGCGCTGGCTTGACCTTCCGACGTTGCGTCCGGAGTACCGGGCGACCTGACCGTCAGCGCTTCTGGCGGGCCTGCCCCTGCGTCCATTGGCGATCGCCTGCGGTTGTCTGCTTGTCTGCCGCCTGCTTCTTACCTCCTGTCGGCGGTTGGGTATCGCTTGATGTTGCATTACGGCCTGCTTTCGTACAGGCTTGCTGCAGCCGCGACCCCACCTGGCCAGATGCATACCCGCCCAATCATGCCGAAACTTTTGTAATCCACGCTTTCAATTTGTAAAAGCTTGAAACAGAGCACTCCTTACGGACCTGCCGTACGTACGGCATGGTGAGCGTGTGGCGGGTTCCAAGGGTCCCTTTGGCGGAGGGTAATAATATTAAATACCCCGTCACCTCATTAGCTATCCTCTGTAAAACCTTGCTGCTGAAAAGCTTGCAGTGCGGAGAGCACGTGAGCATACACGCTTTGCGTAGCTTTGGGGCCTTGGGACAATCACCACGCTGCGGCTCTACTCTTCGTGAGTCTGGAGCCCACTGTAACACACATACACATACACACACATACACACACATACACACACATACACACACATACACACACATACACACACATACACACACATACACACACATACACACACATACACACACATACACACACATACACACACATACACACACATACACACACATACACACACACATAAACACACACATACACACACATACACACACACACACATACACACACACACGCACATACACACACACACTCTTGTTAGTGTTGCGCCGCCCGACCAGCAGCGAACACCTCTTTCCTGTGTCGATCAACATCCCAACATGGTCAATATCCATCCTCCTCCCTGGCCCATCGATAGCGACAGCGGCGATATTCCATAACAGCCTCCACCTCGCCCCGGCGATGCGCTGTAATGTGCTAGTTATACCAATACGCAGCTCACAAACAGTGACCTTGTTGCATGATGGATACGTGCTTGACAGCTCTCACCCCCGACCGTGCGTGCGTCCCCTTACGAGATGCCCTGTCGGTTGTTTACAGGTTTACGTAGGTCGTGGGCGGCGGCACTGCAGGGAGGGGGCACCGTGCGTGTGTGGGCGTGAGCGTGTGTGGGCGTGAGCGTGTGTAAAGCTATTAATCACTGAGGACGACCTCCTGTGAGCTGGAAAAGAGAGTCATAGGGGTGGTGGTGGTGGTGGTGGTAGTAGTAGTAGCAATGATGATAGTAATGATGATAATAATAATAAATAATAAATAATAATAATATTATTATTAATAATATTATTTATATTCAGAGAGCAGTTGATAGCGTTCACTCCCCCAGTCCCCAGCCAACCAACTTGAGTTGTCATGCACTCTATCCGCATGCACCGCAGGCCCCACCACTACAACCGCCACAACCGCCACCACCACCACCGGGATCATCTGCCCCATGCCCGGGACTCACCGTTGTACAGATACTGTGCATTGCTAACAAGGTTGCCCGCATCCATGTAACGGCACACAACAGAGAGGCAGCCAATTCTAAATCTAAAGTCACCCTGGTATTCGAATCTATTCCCTGTAGCCAGTCCGCAGCCGACAATTGATGTTGAGCGCCAGACCACCTGGGTGAAGTGACCAAGCTCTAGATGAGCATTAACGTCGGCTGGTTGCGAAGTATTAAAGTTGTAATCGCTAATCTCGCCGTACCAAGAACCAACTGCCGGCGCGCACTTGAAGTCGGGGCTGGGTTGTGTTTGGTATAAGGCTATGTTCTCGCCGATTTTGGTATCCGGGGAGTGATCGCGTGAGCAGCGGGGCCCGATCACATCAGCCCAGGCCTGGGCGCTTTTGGCCAAATTGGCGTCCCATCGCAGGGGAGGGACCTGGTGAAGGCTACGGTAGTAGTTGTGAACATCCAGAACCTGTTGAGCATCGGGACAGACGCCACCTGCGGGTGTGGTTGTGGGTTTGGGTATGGGTGTTGTTGTGGGTGTGGGGGTG